ATAAATGTTATGGATATCATAAATAGCAGTTTGAAAAGTAGCTGCTACAGGAAGCACTTTATCTGTGGTTTCATAGGGCTTGGCATCAAGTTTGTGTGTGGATACACCTACTGCTATTCCAGACTGTTCTGGGTAGTCAAAAGCGTGACTAACTCGGCTTCTTTCTTTTCCACAACCAGTTGAATACAGCTCAGAAGTTGCTCTGTGACAGAATGAACCTAGAAAACAGGGCTAAAGAAAGTTCTGTGAAAAATTCATCCTGTTCATTTGCACTAAATCATTTTAAAGACAAGTCTATCAAAGGTTTGTCAATAGTCTTGTTGCTGATAACTACCTCTGAACTTTCTAAATGAAGCTTTTCAACCAGCCCACCTGAGTCTGTGTGCAAGTGAACCTTCAGATCATTTCACAGTTTAGGTGCAGATACAGGCAACAGTTTGCTTTGTTTTAGGCCGTGAGATTGAGAAACTGAAAGAATGATAATTTCTTTGCATTAAAGCAGTTAGTCATAGACATTGTTTACCTAATGTGACTTTATAAGTTCATCCATGTCCTAAACTCAAGAGTTTTCTTTTGATCCAGTAAACATTGCACTGTCAGCTGCAAAGTGGACTATATTAAATGACTTGACTGAAAAAAAGTTTTCAAATACTCCAGAATGCTTGTCCTTGAGGTAAAATCCATAAGGACTCTTTGTACTTCAGAAAATCTTCTCCATTCCTATAAATGTTAAAATTTGCAGCAAAGGAAAATGAGCATGATGTGATAAGTGCCACGAGCAGGCTGGTTTTGATTTATTCCTCCTCTCCCTTCATTTTACTATCTGACTTCTCTCTGGATAACAGCTGCACTCCCAGATGATGTACTATTGGTGTTGTTCTTAACAGAGCTTTCTCAAATGCTCTGTAAAGGCAGGGAAGCCATCTGCAGGAATTATGAACAGATGATCCATGGCAGAATGTTCACTCTTGAGGTTGACATTGCAAAGTAGACAAATGAACCATGTGCCCATTAAGTTCATACTTTTGCTTATGCTTATACTTTACTTTTCTGATACTTAAATGGTGTTCTGATGCTGCCACATGTAGGTATAAGAGTGTATGGCATTCAGGGACTCCCTTTTTAACTCCCAGTTACCCCACTTGCAATTTCTGGTTTGATTCTTCCTGGCAGGGGTTCTCCATATTTTCTGGCAGGAGTTTCTTCATAATTCCTTATTAACAAAGTATCAAATACTTATGTGTGCATATACATATATACTTATTAAGCCAGTGCAAGCTGCAGCTGGGCTGTGAAAGGAATAAAACTTGTTGAAGTTCCCAGAAAATATTATTTAATTGATGGTTTTCTACAAGGGGGTCAGAATAGCAATAGTTGTTCATTTTCCCTTCAAGCAGTGTGAACAAAATTGCTCTAAGCATTTTGATTAGACAAGATATTTTCTAGCACAATCTACAAGCTACCCTCAAGCTACCAGAATAAAGGGAAAAGACAGGAAGCTGGCCTGCTACCCTGTAGATTGAACTTTCATTCAAAGAAAGCCAGAATGGAGTCCTGGGTTTTAAGCCAATTTCAGTTCCAAATGTGCCCTGGTTTAAAAGCATACAACTGAACAAAACAGATTAGCCCAGCTGGTTTAGCATTTCAGTTTTGTTAAAAGGACCTTTGGTGATACAGCAAATCAAAACAGAGAAAAGTGCTAGCTATTCTGTTCCAAGTCTGTCTTTCTGTGTTACCATAGCTTTGAATTCCTTCTCAATTAATAAGCAGTGCCACATCACCATTTTTATTTAATCTCCATTTTCGTGGTTTGCCCACTTGAGTTCAGAGAGCCCAAGAGCCTCACAGTTTATTATGTGGATAATCTTAAAGACAAAAATCTTAATTAATGGCAAATAGTTTTTAGAGTGGAAGTATTTCTAATCAAACATAAAAAAGAGCCCTGAATCCTGAAATTTGGCTAAATAGCTCAGCGTTTCAAGTTCTCCTTATTTCTTAGAAGAGATAGGTTCCATGTAACTTGATGATTCAAAGAGTACGGGACCTATTTTAATGAAAACTAAATGGTTACCCTGTTTTTGAAAATTTAAATATTTATATACCTCCCTTTATTAAAGAGCTTGGAGACATAATTCAAAAGTTGTAATAAAATCATATCTGAAATTATCTGAAGACTGTGCCTTAAGAAACAGAAAGATACTCTAAATAATCTGAACTTTAAAATAAATTTGATTTTTATTACCTTTTTTATATTGGAGGTTTTTGACTATTTTTCACATTTAAAAACTTGGCTACATCAAGTGTAGATACAGGGTTTGAGATTTAGTGACCTGAGTAAACAATTAACAGCAACAATCCTGCTCACAAAATTTCTTCAAAATAATTTACCATTCTTTCATGGAATGAAAACATTATCATACAAAGAACATATAGCTATAGTATTGGTGAAGGAAATGAATGTTACTACTTCAAACTCTAGATTTTATTTTAAATTTTAAAAAATCTGCAAAAATTATGCAGTATATCATCTTTATCTCTTCTGAGATATACATACATGCAGTACTACCTGCACATTCCTACTAGCTTCCTATAAATATACTTTAAATCTCTATCATTAGCTTCCTGTCAATCTACTTTCTTTCCTTATCACATCTGCTTAATAAGATTTACTATTTTTTCAGATGTTTAAGAATGAAATCTATGTTTCCAATGGGAAAGGGTGCTAGCAGTTTTTGCTGCACTATGGCTTTAATGAATCATAATTCTTTTTACCTTCTGGCTAATCTTCAATGATATCCATGCAATAACTGCTTTTCTTCTTCACTCATCTTAAAGATGGAATTGAGAGGTCATTATAGAACTAGTCTTAGTTCTACTGAAAGGTCAGCAAAGAGCAGGCTGTCAAATTTGACCTAACAATGAGCACCTGGCCTGTAGGAGGCTGGGGACTTTCAAGACATCAATTTATGTGAAACAACCTAAACCAGGTCCAGAGACAGAGATAACATACTAAAATTTAAGACTTTTTTTTTCCCTGCTGAGGTATTTTTATTTTTCATAACACAGTATTTCTTTGGTTATAGTAAGAGATGCTGTCATTCACTGACTATAGCAGTGACATGAAAAAGAAAACTAATAAGACACCTGCTTGTTGAAGCAACAATTGAAGATTATCCCCTAACTAAGAAAACAAACAACTGTTGCAAGATGAGAATGAGTAATCTATGCCAAAATGCTCTATGGTGATGATTTTAACAAATAAGGGTTTGATTGTCTTAAGAGGGAATTCAAGCCCAAATCTCTCTCTCCCTTCACATCCCAGAGGTCAGAGGAATTACCAGTAATTAATGGCAGGAGCTTTCTCCTGTTGCACTTGAGAAGAGCAATTAACCTGACTTTCACACAGACTCAAGAACAAAATTTAGTCCTGAATCCCAAATGGAGGCAGGTGTTCTGCTGATTTAGGTAGGCAACATGCTGAGTTAGTTCTCTCAGAAAAATCTCATGCTCTGAGTTTTCTTTTGAGAGGCTTCTCTAATTTATTTACATTCCCATTACTTATTCTAGTTTCCTTTGGTTTGAGTGGTAGGAAAAGGAGGAAAAGAAGCTTTTTTGCTAGGTTGTGTTCACTGTTCACTGAAGTAATGTGATGCTACACAACATGCCTTGTTCCCATATCTCTATTTATCTCTATTTTCTACTCCCTAGACAAGCACATCTAAATTATTGAAAAGTATGAAAAATTTTTAGACTTTTAAATTATACATTATAGTTTGAGCTTTTGTTCCATGTGTAATTTCCCTGGTGATTTTTGGCATGTAAAGCAGAGGCTCAACATGGACTTCTTTGTGACTCCCACCTACAATCCTTTTGCAGAAAATGTTATCGACACCTGTAGGCATAGCCCAAGAAAGGAAAATAAACCCTAAGATATTTTACCTGGAATGCTAAAGCAGGTATGAGAATATACTTAAAAAGAGTTATGCAAGGGACCATTTAAAAAATACGAAACACTAAAGGAAGAGGGTCAGGTTTTTTGTTTCTTTGCAACATTAAAGCTAAATTACAGTATCTTTCAAAAAATACTTGTAACTCAAAAAGCAGAAATACATGAGGATGTCTATGTACCATATTTCCACATCTACCAGACTCGGCATCTGGTTTCTAGATTGAATCTGTGTAACACAGGGATACATTAAGACCAAATCAGAAGCTACAAAATAATTCATTTGACTTGTTTTAAGATAAATTTCTAAATCTAGAAATATGAGCAAATATATTAAGCCATGAAAAAACTCCCAGTATGGTTCTAAAACACTGTAAATGTTATAAGAAAATCCTGAAACCAGCTGCATAACCACCTTTAGTCTCCTCAGAAATATTTTGTTTCAGTTTTGAAAGGAACATTTTCTGCTTTTAGCACATCATTATTTAGCTTTTCTTAGAGAGGCATTTTGTTGCAGGTCAGATAGAGATCATGTTACTCATTAAATATGCTTGATGGTGACATCATGAGCACATTCAATCACAAAATTTTAAGTACTTGCATTTCATAAGGCATCATTTTGAGAAGTAACAGCCCTTCACTTCAGCACTTCAAAAAGCAGTTTTTCATTCCATGCTGTGTGAACAAATGTTCCTGTTCTTAGCCACTGGCAACTTTTGGGACTTGTGGTGCAACACATCATATAGTTAAAAGTCCTCATCTGTTATGCCCAGTGTGACTCTGGGAGAATTATTGATGCAGTGACAACTCAAAATTTTATTCTCACCCTTCCGGTGTAACATCAAACTCATTATTAATTTTAAAAAACAACATACTCACAATCTATGTGCAGGGCAGAGTAGGTTAATTTGAAATTACCAAATCAACTTTCATTACCTAAGGACAGAGGTTTGATATTCCTGGAATGAGAAGCTGTCCTGCTTCACTTGGGTCTTGAGATGCCACTGTAACTCAAATTTTTTGCTTCCCTTTCAATGAATCGCCACTGACTTAGAAATCTTTGTCAACATAAGAAGGACGTGGATCTCTTGGAACAAGCCCAGAGGAGGGCCACAAAGATGATCAGAGGGTTGGACCACCTCTTCTCTGAAGACAGGCAGAGAGAGTTGGGGTTGTTCAGCCTGCAGCAAACTCCAGGGCAACCTTAGAGCACCTTCCAGTACCTAAAGGGGGCTACAAGAGAGCAGGAGAGGAACTTTCCACAAGGACATGTAGATATGGAACAAGGGGCAATTCCTCCAAACTCAAAGAAGGTAGGTTTCGATTAAATATTAGAAGGAAGTATTTATCTTTGTTATGGTGAGACAATGGAAGAGCTTTCCCAGAGAGGTTGTGGATGCCTCATCTCTGGAAGTGGTGACCTTCAAGATCCTTTCCCAACCAGAACCTTCTATTTAATTTTACTATTATTTTATTGTAATAAGCACTGAAGAGCTATAGAGCTTGCTCATTCCAGGTCACTTTATGACAAAGAACCCATTGAGCCATACTTACACAGAATATATTGTCCTTACACATTAGGTGTTGGAGAACAGATTATCCTACTTGTGACACTCAGGATACGCATGATCCAACAAGGATTTCATTTCAGTTTCAGATCTTCCTTTTTATTTCACCACACCATTACACTCCCAGAAAGTGAAAAAATAAAATCATTGAAGGGCACAGTCTTTTTATATTAATTTACTTGTTAATTAATTTACTGCAGTAAATGCTTAACTAAATTGTCTCATGTACATTATTACAACAATATTTATAACCTTATTAGAAAAAAATATAAAATCTATATGAATGTATATCAATATATATTTTAACAAATCTTTATATATTATATATAGTATAAAAAGTTTATAACAATATTGTTTAATGTTATAAATATTTCTTCTGACTCTTATTCCAAACAAAGTTATAACTGTATTGCCTTGCCCCACAAAATAGGTTTCAAATAGCTTGTCCCAGTGCTCTGGTGTATTTTAATAATGACAATTTAAGTGGAAAAAACCCCACAACATATACAAAACCAAGATAACTATCTGAATTGGGGCTTTACAGACATGTTAGAGAGATTATGTTCCTCCTGAGCTTTAAATGTTTCTCTATTCCTTGGACTAATCTGAATTTGGAATCTGAGTTCTCATCTTCAGGTGTGCATCCTAAAATGAGACCAGCTTAGGAAGAGACATGCATGAGATGTTTGTTATGTTGAAGCTGTCTCTATTTACAAATAAACAAGTAAAATAAACAAGTGTGCCTGGAAGAGAGTGAATTCACCAAAACTGAAGGCTCCAGTGTTATTCATCACTCCAGTGAATTTTTGTTTGTTTGTAACACAACATTGTCATAGAAAAGAGAAAAAACTTTCGGTTTTAGTTTATTTTATTTCTTTTCTAAAATGCCTTATGATTAGAGGGTGAGTAACAGGAGCAAGAATTAGAGATGCGCTCTTAATTCCAGGTGTCAGAGTGCTTTATCCCAGGAGACCTCAGATGGAAGAATATTATCCTCCCTGTTCCATCAATCTTCTTCTACTACATCAGTATTTTTCTACTTTTTATTCTTTGCTTTTTAGTGTTACCCACATATAGAAACCACCCAAATTCCTGAGGAGAAAAGGAAATGTAGTTTAAAAATCAAAGTTTTGTTTCGATTAAAGATGTGCAGTTAAAGACAAAGAAAACAAAGAAGAGAAAGAGGAAAAGAGGATTTGTAGAAGGATTTTTACAGTTTTCCATAGCCTTCTGAACATGTCAGAAGGAAAGTGCATCACTTCAAACACATTAACAGAGAAAAAATTAGTCACTGAAATATTTCCATTCTATAAAGACAAATTTTGGGATCTACAGATCATTAATTATCACTGTTGTGTATGACAACTGCAATTTACTCTCTATATTTTCCTATGTTTCTAAAGAAAAAACATAGACAAAAGGATGTTTCCACCTTGGCTATGTCCAAGGACTGAATCTAGGAAAGCTGAAATCTGAGAGAAGCAGTCTTGAATCTTATATAAGCAATTCATAGATGAAATATCATTTAACCATAGGGAGTAGATTTCTGACTTGTCAAATCAACAGCTTTAACAGGCAGGTATGTTCTATAAATGAAGAGAGATAGAAGGGAGATAGAATGAAAAATGATTGCACTTTTAGAAATATAAATAACTGCTTGCAACCTAGAGACCAGGGAATGAGTTAGCAACCTGTTTTTGTTAAAGGCTGTGTTGGTAATATAAAGGTAATTTAATAGTCAAAGGATTTCAGTTTTCATGGTTGTTGGTCTACAGCCTCTGAGGCTTTACACACACACACATGAAAAAATTACAGATTAAAGGAAAGAAGGCCTTTTATTTAGACCAGTCTGATAGAAATTCATGCTATTCATTTTGTTAGATGCCAGAACTAATAAACCCTGAAACATTACACTAATCACCCTAGAACACTGAATTTAAATGTTGTTTCTATTTGGTTACCTACAGAACTTGCAATGAGTAAATATAGACAAAAGAAGTAGTAGAATATTTCTTCTAAAGTGTTTCAACATTTCTGAATAGAAGCCAAATTAATACAAACACAGTATAGGCAAGGTAGCTCAGCTATTTATTTAACATTTTCACATAGACTAATTTAAGAACATGACCTTTAAAGTTGCTGGTCCAGAACAGGCCTTCTAGCCATGTGATTTTTACTTATTGCATTCTTCTTACAGTCAAAATCCCTTCTGAAATACTTTTCAACACTAATTTACTAATTAGCTTTAGTTAAGAAAAATGTACATACCTGGGGATTTTAAACACTCCCATGCTACTGTCGCCCAGAGTTCTTCATCTGCAGCTAGCCATATATCCATTAGATCTGGTGAGTCTATTTATGCATAGTGAATGAATTTGGTTTGTTTGCCATCTGCATGCAAATCATATAAAGTTCAGTTATTTTATTAATCCATAACCTCTGACGAAATCCTGCTGAGATAATCTTTTGAGCCTCTTTCCTCCCTCAGGTATAGTTACCATAATAATACTGACAGGCAGAGGAAGTTGGGGATCTTCAGCCTGGAATAGAGAAAGTTGAGGTGTGGACACCTCATAGCTTCCTTCCACTATCTGAAGGAGACCCACAGGGAATTGCTCAATAGGAGCTGTAGTGACAGGACAAGGACTATTGGGTACAAACTGAAAGAGGGGAAAATTAGGTTAGATATATGGAAAAAATTAACTGTGGCCATCACGAGGCACTGGAACAAGTTGACAGAGAAGCTGTGGATGTGACACCATACATGGAAGTGTTTAAGACCAGGTTGAATGGGACATTGAGTGACCTGGTCCAGTGGAAGTGTCCCTGCCTATGGTAGAGGGGCTGGAGCCAGATGATTTTTAATGTTCTTTCCATCCAAACCATTCTATGATTACAATTCTGTTACTATAGAATTAATATTCTATAATTTTCCTTTACATTTGAACCTAAAGTTTGGCTTCAGCTTCAGAAAAACTTCCCCTTGGCAAATAAAAATAGTGTTTTTCAGAATAAAAAAAAAAATCAAAACTGATAGCAAAAAACCTTTCAGTTACAATATTCTAAAGGTAAAGATGGAGGTGTATGTCATTCCCATGGGAATCAAGACATTATAAGAAGGAGGACTGGAATGGGTCTGCACAGCAGGAGTAGGTCCCGTTCTCACTAGCCCAGGCACAGCAGCAAAACCCCAAGGCCACTGGCAGCTCTGTAGAAAACCACTGGCCTTCTCATTATGTTCTTCTGCTCTCCAGTGGTTCCATTCTCAGTGCAGCGCTGCAAACACATTTTCTTGTTACTCTTCAGGCTTTCTGGAGATTTAGACCTTGCTTTGGGAAATGAGCATGACTTAAGACAGAGTAGCAAAGTGAAGGGGACGATTTTCCCATGGAACACACTTTTTCTTTCCCTCCCTATTTTTTCACTGCAAAGTTACACACTTGGAGTGGTTTAGAGGAGTGCTGCCTACACCCTACTGGCAATAACACCACCTTGTAAACAAGACCAAGATGTATTTTGGAGGAAAGGTTTTGTTATAACTTTAGTTTTTCAGATACATTTTTTTCCTTGCAGCCTTCTACTGTAGCTGGCATGCATTACCGTCTTTTAAAGGAACTAAAAGCTTTACAAAAACAAACAAATAGAGGGGGAAATAAAAGGGAGAAAAAGTGTTCTGGGGAGGAAAGAGGCATTTTGATAAGCAGAAATTTTTGACAAAAGGAATAAAATAAGGTCTGCTGAGCAGATGGAAACCAGCTAAGTTTAACACGTTTTTTAGTCTGAAAAGATGTCAAGGAAACCTGCCACTAAGTTGTTGCGAAAAAAATCCACTTTGGTGAACAAAACATGTAGGTTCTATCAAAAAGGTCATAAATTTCACCTCAGCATTTAGTTGTTCAATGAACTGATTACAGTAACACATTTTACCTAAAAAAACTAGGTCAAGTAAGGAGAAAGGAAACCCCTGAAGTCCATGGCTATAAATGTGTTCTAGATGACCTACAAGGGAAGAATTATTTAAAGATCATTCAACTTAAACTCTCCAGAGATTTCTGGTATGCCATTTATTATTTTCCTACAAGAAACATGAGCTACTGCTCTGACTTATTGCTCCAGTTTTAGAATGGAAATCTCAATGGAACATGCACTATAAAAATGGACTGTAAAAATCACAGTAATGAATCCAGCTCAGTGATATGATGAGTCCTGAAAATAATTTTTTTTTTTCAGCTGAGGATTAATTTTTTAAGAGTCAATTTTTAATGTTTAAGAAAAATTAAATTTCTAACTGATCTTTGAAAGCACAGCATGGAAAAAAATATTGGATTAAAACCACCTGATTCATGAAAAGACACCTTGAAAACAGTACTGACTACAACTGTTGGGTGTTACTACCATTTTGACTACATTCTGATGAATTTAAAGTGTTCTTCCTAAGCTTCTATATATTCAAAAATGACAAGGAGACTGTATGAGAAAGTTATTAACTCCTAGTTTAAAAACTATATTTAGACAAACTCTTGCAGACTGTGCATGATGGGAAGGAGCTCTTTACCTGTTCCTCTCTATTTCCCAACCAAAACAAAGCTCAGTTCAGAAAGGGAGATTATAAAAAATTTACCTGACTAATTTTTAGATTAATGTAGAACAATATAACAATATACAATAAAATCTTTAAGAATTTTTGCTCATTTGAAAATATTTACTTTTTAAGAAATATGTATTAGCATCATGGGGAGGAAAAATATACTTTTATAAATGGCTGTAACTCTTGCTTAGGTATTTTCTTAACTCCATATAAGTTTGTGTATTTAGTCTAAATAAAAGTGGCAGCCATACAGAATATTTAGGCATGTAATTCATATTTTGGCAGACCCCCAGCTTCTGTGTCTTTTTAGACTAATGATCCCCAAACATTCCTGTGTTTGTCATCCTTGAACAGAAAGTTTGATATCTATTCATACTTTAGTAGAAATATCAATTACTACTCTATATTTTTCACCAGTTTTGCAATAATCAATTGCATAATCAATAACTCATCTTTTTTATGTTCTGGCTTCCAAGGAACTGATGAAAATCATTGCAATGTTTCCATGAGAATGAATTACAAGATGAACAAAAACAGCAGGATGTCAAGTTTCACCTATTTCACATGACAGCAAATCATGAGTATTAGACACATTTTTATCTACAGGTAGGAAAACAATGTTGAAATCCATAGGAGCAGCCTAGTGTACTTGCTAATGCTAACAACATGTTACATGTTTCTCATTCATCCATGAATGCAAACCTAGTCTTAGATGCTAAAAATTAGGGTCCAAGATCAGAGTTACCTCACATCCTACTTCAAATTATTATTATGAGAAAAGACGACATCATAGTTTTCAACAACATATTTGCATTTTCCCATCCCTTTTTCCTGTGTCTGGTTGTAAGGTTGTGCTAAAATTGTTACCTGTTCCTAAAAGGCAAACTTCCTGAACACATCAACACCCCTGAAACACAGGCAATAGAAATATAGGTGGTCTTACCAGGTCTTGCCTCTGCCACCAGCCCCTGCCTGTGCTCTAGTGTGCTGCTTCTCACCATATGTAACAGCAGGGAGGTTGGCATGCCATTTTTACCAGCAGCCTGGGCACTGAGGTCCAGCCTTTTGGTAACCCATAGTCAGAGGGATTGATTTTTCTTGCATGTATTTGATTGTTTCTAACTTCTTGATGATGTTAACTCTGTGATGGGTATCACCCAATCTTCAATCTGGCTGTACTTAATTATCATGTTGGAAATCCTTTACTTTCATGCTTTTAAACACTAAGATAATACTTTTAAATATGTGAAGTGGTTTTACTTAGGACTTTTTTCCTGTTTTCATGTACACTTTATGTTCAGTAAACATGCAAGATAAAATCCCTTTTCTTTGTATTCAACTGGTAATTAAACCCACAATTTTTTATGAGATCTGGAAATTTGTTCTACCATCTTGATCAGTATTTCCAAATTAATAGTAGTCTAAACAAGAGTTTCTACCAGGAAAACAATAACAAAACTCACCTGCATGTGTGTGAGAGACTGGAAAGAATGATTACTGGCTCAAAACAACTCAGATGTGTGTGGGAGGAAAGGGCAGATCAAGTTCTGCAAAGATGGAACAATCCTCTGCCCCACAGTAAATTCCCTTTGGAGTTGCAGTCTAGTCCCTGAGTGGCTGTTGGATCAGAAGCCGCCCCCCCCCGATGGGGAGTTGTGGCTACAGGAGGCCAGAGCAGACTAAAACCATTGTACAAAGCCACGCAAGGCTAAATCCCCATTGTCCCTGGAGTGTATGGCATCTGAGACCGCACTGGATCCAAGGGTCACAGCTGTACATTTCTTCCCTCTCTCTTTTTCTCTCTTTCTCTCCTTTTCTTCTACTAATTTCCTCTTCTTGAAGTCTGGGTATTTTAAGGTTGGATAGGTTAGTGCTGAATCAATTCATTGTGAAATGCTTTATTTTGGTTGAAATGTTGCCAGTTCCTGATCTTCTAATGTTTGCCAGTGAAGCTTGTGTTTTGATCTCCCAAGAACTTCTGTGAAGTTTTCTTTTGTGCCACCTCAGGGAAAAGTAGAACCTTAAGCCACTTTTAAATAAACTTGCCGTGCAATGGCTGGGGATTTATAGCACATTCCTCTGTAACCTGCACTGGGTGACCCTGTCCAAGCAAGGGGCTTGGACTAGATAATCTGCAGAGGTTCCTTCCAACCCTAACCATTATGTGATTCTGTGAAGCCCTCACTGAAGGGCAGACCAATTAGTCCAAAAGGCAAAGAGTGGCCTCATCCAATTCAAGAACATGGAATTGTGCAACTAATGATATAGAATGGAAAATCTCACTGGTCAGATAAACAAAAAGCTGAAGTTAAAATAACACCAAAACTGTCTGACAGGTGTTTTATTACTTCAGGGCTTCAAATCTGGACCAATTATTTTGGCTAAAAGCCCCAGCTTTAAACTAATTTTCTTGTATCCCTATAAAACCTGATTTTAAGGACACATTTTGACTGCATCTAATTTAGAACTTATGTAGTTTACCATTGAGTTTAACATAACATGGGCATATCTGCAAATTATGGTGAAAACTAGATAATAAAAATACTTTTTTTGAAAAAAGAGGCAAGTATTTTAGAAAAAAACATAACAGATTTTTCATGCTGTGCCTTGTTAATACTGATACTTAGGATTTATCTTTTTTTGTTTCATTTCAGTCTTCCAAACACCTTAAGAACACTCAGCTTCAATTTCCTAAGTAAAATAAGCCTTGGGTTATTATTCTGTTTTAATAGTTACTTGTGAAGAAAATGATTTATGAGCAAAACATAGAAAAAGACACATAACATGAGGCCCAGAAATACCATGTTTTTCTCTCAGTCCCCCAGTCCCATAGGCAGAGAGGTTATTTTCAAACCTAAATTTTTGTAGTGTTAGTGATTGCCTTTTTTCTTTTACAGCTCTCTTCAAGACTCTCTTGACACTTGACTATAACAACAGATCTTTTAAAAAGAAGAAAAAGCCTGGAAGTCACCACTGGCAGTCAACCACTAAATGTGATTTTTATTTCCTCTCATCAGGCGGAGAACCAATAAGTCATCTATGAAGCTGAAACCAGGAATTCTCTTATATTCCATTTATACAACCTATGCACACTTCAGTTAGGGTCTAGTGGCATAAATAGGTTTGTAGAAGACTGTAAGACTTCATAAAATAAACACTAGGGCAAAGAATGTGTGTATATTATGGAGCTTTTAGAAAGAGAAGGAAAAGAAAATTTTATTTTGTAGCACTTCTCAACTTACTCAACTTGAGAAATCCCTGTTTTTTGAAAAAATTATAGGAGTTTTTACATTTTTATAACCTTACTCATTTAAATTTATGGGACTTGTTGGACAGTACTGCTAATTATTTTCCTATCAGAGGCTTCTGCACTCTAACTGGCAGAATTGTAGTGAGTGCACACATAGAAAGGGTACTTGGGTGTGACCAAGGGGAGAGGTAGAAAATATAACACAAATGCCCAAAGACCCAGTTCACATAATGGAAAGGCCTTAAATTGATTCCATCAACACAGAAAATACAAAGCCCATAAAAACCCTGTCTGGATGAAAGACTCAAATTGTCTCACTTTACTGTGGCCATTCTGGGAATGTGTCCAAAACAAGGAATACAGCTTCTCACACTACCATTATCAGTACTTCAGGTGCAGATCTCCACAAGCTTCATAACCAATACTCACTGTACTTTTACTGACCCTCTTCCATTATATAATTTCCTCCTTACTCTGCTGTGTGTTGTACAACTACTTTGACCTAAAGGATTTGCAGAATTGAAAGATCGTGAAGCCTGAGTTTTTCTGCAAGTGGCTGGAGGAAGAAAAGGTAGACAAATGCAGAAGAAATGCTACTTCTCAGAACCAGAAGAAAGGTTGCAGAAAATAATACATATAATCATCTCAAGTGATTGACCTTCTGCTAACATCGTACATTTCATTGGCTGACTTGTTTAAGGCCTGGTTTGCTTAAAACAGCTGGTCAAGAGACACATGATCAGGCAGGCCTCACTCAAGAGGAAGGAAGTTTAAAATGCTGCTGTTAGCACAGGGCAGCATGTACAAAGATTCTTCTTATTAGGCCACTTGCAGAAGTGAGCCCACATGGGAAAGTTTCATCAGAACAGAAGCTAGACAGTGCTCCTGAATTCCGAAAAATCCGTTTCCATTTTAGTAAATCTAGCAAGAGAGAATAGACGGAGAATTAAGTAACTGGTGCTGGAAGATTAGCTGACTTTTTCATCCTCCAAATGGCATGAATTTAGGGAGCACATCTAAGCCTGAAAAATGGGCACTTTACTGAATAACATACACAAGTTATTATAGTGCATAATAGTGAGAAAAAAAAAAACATGAAAACAGGTCAGATGGCTTTGCAGTAAGAGGACCCATACCTCATTATGGAAAAAGGCACCAGATATCTCTCAGATGTGATCCCTCCTTCAGGGTTTTCTGGATGGATAGTATGGTCTTTAATTGTCTCTTAACCATGGTAAGGACCTGGTTCAATAAAGCCTTTCTCAGAAATCAGTTCCTTTTTATACTCCTCCAGTGTACAGGAGTATAAAAGTTTTGGCTGTGATAGAGTTGATTTTCTTCAGAGAAGGTTGTATGCAACTGTGTTCTTCATTTGTGCTGAAAATAGTGTTGATAATAAAGTTTTACTTACTGCTGAACAGTGCTTACACAGGGCAAGGACTGTATATCCTAAAACAGGCTGCTATTTATTCCAAACTGAACAGCAATGAGCTCATCACAACAAATAAAAACCTTGTTCAGGAGTTGTTTGAATAAGTCAATCTATCATAAAACAACTAAACTTCAAGACAGCAAAAATATTTGCTCCCAAAAAGATGTAAAGACAAAATGTATTTGTCTTCTGCACATGAAGATAATCTCACAATCCCACTCCAATATCCTGTAAGTTAAATCTTTCCCATGAAACATGTGAGAAGCCTTGTGTGTCCTATTCCCCTCCCTTCTTTCAACTACAAATTTCTGATTCAGCCTCTGCAAAGATATGCCTGAGTAGTTTCTCCAATGGCCAATCCTTCAATCAGGACCTTAAGACTTCTGATCTTTGCAATTGTCTCCATTATCAATTTGTGTTCAGAGTTGCTGTGTCTTTGAGTATAATGTATTAATTTTCCTGTCTCTTAACCTTTTTTATGTTGACTAGCCATAAATCAGATATTCTGACAATAATCCTTACATTCATCTGATCTTTGCACTAATGTAAAAAATGTGCATCATTTCATGAGGATTAACATTTTTTTGTCATTTGGTTAGAACATATCATTATTTGTTGGCAAAACAGAAACAGTCAAAAATATGTAATTGATGTTTTTACCTGTCTTTAACCTCCAATTCGTATGACTGATGTTTGTAAGATATCAAAGATTTCTTTTTGTACCCAATGAGTCAATTTACAAAAAGCAGCCATATTTTCACTGCCTACAAAAACTGTAACTAAGTGACAGTAGTCAATTAGGGTAGATTTTTGACCTCCTAGCAGGTCATTTCCAGATTGGTTGTGAGTGACAACAATTCAGTTTCTAATGTGACAGACACCTACAGCTAGATCCACAATGGTTTTAGCAGATCAGTTTTAGCTTACTGTCATGTTTTAGACGTGGTATTCCCCCATTTAGTGCTCTCACTGCCTCTCCACTTCCCTTCCCCTCCAGCTGAAAGCATAAAAGGCAGAGATCCTGGGTTGAGATAAAACCACTATGCAGGAAACAGCAATGAGAAAAGAAGACAACAGCAACAATGCTAATATCTAAAGTGTACAAAGAGAGTGTGGCTTTATGCAAAACACTCATCAGGCCTGGGACAATGAAAAAATGGCAGACAGATCCTCCACCACCACACTTTCCCAGCTCTGGAAAGGAATGCCCTTTCTTCCAGGAAGCAAGAGATAAATTCCCCTGCCCCTGGCAATGACCTAGGATGGTATGGAATGACATTAGGTTGCTGGCCATGCCCACAGGATTCCCAGCTCTGCACTCGCACTGCTGCTGTGAAAAATAAACCCTGTCCATGGCTGAAAACAAGACACTTGTATGCAAGTACACTCTTTATTCCTTCTTATTTATACTGCCAACCTACTGGTTCACTCAAGCTAGATTATACGGACAGCAACCAGTTCACATAGGCAGGATTTACTATCCAAGTTCCTACAAGGTACTCCATGACAATAGTTTTTTGACATGGAGTTTTGTTGAATGCCTAGACAATTACATGGACTTTGCCTGAAAATCTTTTGGGACACTCTCTGGAGTGAACATACAAGAAAACCTGATGCTTTTTTGCTTCAGCTTTTTTTAATGGTTATTCAGCTAGGAAAGACCACAGACTGAAAACATTGAATTTTCATTATTGCTGGCATTATCAAGTCTGAACATGAACCCCAGTGTTCCTGAAGGAATAAGCATACTTGCCTTACTGAAACAGCTACATACCTTCTCCTGAGTTAAGCTCTCCCCAGATTAACTCAGGAAAGGATACCCAGAAACACATCCACAGCAGGACTGAAACAAAGAGTGCATAACTATACAGAAAAGCTGAGAGCAGTCATTAGCTTCTCTGTAAAAGGAAAAATTCATCACAGAAACCAGTAGATTTCTATAAAACAGGTCCAATTTTGGTATTCTTAAAATCACATCACTGAAGTCCTACCTTGATGATGCAAAGGAAGAGGAAGAACAGGTGTATTCTATAACAACACTTGGGGCAACAGAGTTTCTTCAATTCTTCAAAGCAAAATATATTGAATATTGTGTTCAGTTTTTGTCCTCTTACCACAAGATATTGAGGTGCTGGAGTGTGCCCAGAGAAGGGCAACAGATGTGGTAAAGTGTCTGGAGGACAAGTCCAATGAGAAGTGGACTTGGGAGCTGGACAGGGGACTTTATCACTCTCTAAAATACTTGAAAGGATGTTGTAAAAAGAGCTGGAGATGGATCTCGTCTCTCAGGTAACAAGTGATTGGATCACAGGACATGGCTTCAAGCTATGCCAGAGGATCTTTAGGAAAAATTTCTTCACCAAAAAGGTTGTCAAGCACTGGAACAGGCTGCCCAGAGAAGTAAATGAGTCATCATCCCTGAAGGTATGTAAAAACATGTGGATGTGGCACTTAGAGAAAATATTTAGTATTGGCAGTGTTGAATTTAGAGTTGGACTTGATGATCTTAAAGGTCTTCTCCAGCTTAAAGGATTCTGTGGGACAAAGCACATGTAATGCTCCATTCACAGTTGCCCATTCACTGATGAAATTACAGAACCACTGTGAAACTAGGAAAAACTGATGTTTTGTTATTCAGTCACTTAATCTCAAGTAGCAAGGCATTTTTTTGTTAGACATGTCTTAACTGGAGAGCAGTCGGTTACATGCAGTAGAATCATAATCTGGAGCTGAAATGCACTTTCAGAGCACAGCTCCACAGCCATTTAGCCATTAGCACATCAAGGCTCCACTGCACCTTCATGTGCACTGTGGTACAGGCGCAGTGGAACCTCTGAAAAGGAGAAAGATTCTTGGTACCCATTTGTGTTACAATCTCTTAAACCATGTTGCACTGTTAACTAACACAGACTCTTTAGCAGCCAGCCTTGAGCAGAGACTAAATTTGAATTAAATAGCAGAATGCAATCAGCACTGCTTACATAGTCAGGTGTCTTCCAGGGATCAATAAAGATTCCTATCTGCAGATGTGAACAGAAAGCTAGCTTAACCTAGGTCAAAACCCTCAAACTCACACAGGTATGGAAGTCTTACAGGCAGCTGAAATAAGTTACAGCAGCAGAATGGCAGTCCTTTTTCTAAGTTATTTGTAGACTCGACACATCAAGAGTGCAACAGATGGTATTCATGTTCCAGTATACAACCCCTACACACTTGGAAGGAAAATACTGAACAAAGCTCTCACTAACACCTGCAGTTCTTGCCACTGTAAGACAGCAGGCTCCTGATGGCACTGCACACCTCTATTGTGACAGCTGACAACGTCAGTCAAACAGCTTGCTTCCAAGCACAAGAGTTTTGGGTAGATGTTGAGGCAGACAAACTTGCAGATGCAAGTTTACCAGATAGAGAAACAGCGAAGGCTGCACACTGATACTGCAGCTCTGGCATTGAGCATCAACTCTTTCAAGTTCTTTTCTTCCAAGTTCTATGTTTGGAACAGTTCGTTCCTAGTCCTAGCCTTTGGTTTTCTACTCTTCAGCATAAACCAGTTTACTTTGCAAATCATCTGAAGAGATGAGGTATGCCCAAATTTAGTCCTGTTTGAAAGCAGTATGATTAGAGCTGGCTTGGAACATTTGTCTCTGACAGCTGAGCTAAAATTCAGCTTATCAATTTAAATTCAAATAACCAAAGAACAAAGTAATTGCTCCCTTAACTGTCCTTAGGTACCTTAACAGGGTACCAAAGTTCTATGTATTATAGAAAATGTAGAAGCCTTTAGACAGCTCAGAAACTGATCTAAAGTAACCTTTGGGAAACACCAGAAGGGGAAGAGTACTTTCTTCCTACTTGTGTATGCAAGGGGGTCTCCTACTGTGCAAGCAATTGATTGCACAGATAAAAGCTAGTTTGCTGAAACTAGCTCTATGAGCAATTTGAAAAGGAAGTGATCTCCACTTTAATGACAGAGAAAGGCACATATATATCGGCCCTAAAAGTGCTTACTTGTGCAGAAACTTGTAGGCTGCATTTTGTTTGCAGATGTTGCTATGAATACGACATCAAGCAGCCCCTCTAGGTATATTAGGATGCTAAAGCACCAGAGAAACTCAGAGGAATGTACAGGGGTGGGAAGAACCTGCAGGGTATGGTGTAAAAAAAACTTCGCTGCAAAATTAATGAAGAGATTTTCATTAAAATGTATCAGTATGCAGTCAAAGTAATAGCTTGCATATACTGAAAATGGTCTGTAAAACAAGGATGAAATAAATATGCTTTATCCCAAAAGAAGAAAAATAGAAAACAGCCTGATATTCTTTCTTTCTGCTCCCATCTTGGTCAGTTTTAAGTAATTGAGAAGAAACTGTACAAAACCTACAAATAAATCCCAATACAGCATACTTTCTTTAAAGCCACATGCATATTCTGGTATTTGAAATATTTTCCTGGGATTCTGATCTGAGTAATATTAGGTAAAGGGAAAAAAATCTGATCTTCCATATTGTACATGAAAACAAAAACAACAAAAAAAAAAAAGCAAACCCCCTGCAATTGTAGGAAAAATGGTACAATTGTCTTTTGTTAATAGCATAATTCTTTTGAAAGACATGTCATAGGGACTTCTTTTCTAAGGGTGTTTTTTTGTGCATAATTCCTCAGCCATGGCTCCACAGTACCAAAGGCAGCTGAGTGCAGTCTAGGCTGAAAATAGTCCTCCTCAGCATTCTACAGGGCTGGCAGCTTCCCTCTCAGCATTCTTACTTCAGGTAGGTGAGAACACTTAGAGTGCTCTCCAGTTTCCCTAGACATGAAAAGCAGGTACTAGTCTTTGCTTCTAGAACCTGTTCCATTCAGCTATGTAGCACCTGCTGTTGAGCCTCTTTCACACTTCCACTGCCCTAGCTTAGCCAGTATAGAGGGGAAAGCAAAGCAGTCTCCCTTGCTTCTCATCTGACAGCAATTGCAGAGCAGGTTGAGAAGGCGCTACACCCTCCCTGACAGCACCCAGTACCATTGAATAGTCTCACTCAGCAAGCCTCTGCAAGTTCTTTCCTTACAGCCTGGCAAAACCCAAAGCTATCCACTTGA